ATGTTGTTTCATTTCCATTATTTATTAAATGATTGTTTCTACACCAACATTCGAATTCATTGATTACTAGTTTCGTTTCATTTTCAATTTCATTCAGATCTGGGGACGTCACAATGTTGTGCCATCGGCATACATGAAAACTCGACCCTCGAGAAAATCCTTGTATTCAGTTTCAAGGTTTATTCGCCCTAACCATACCTTGGCACAGCTCAAGTTGATAATTTTCAGATTGATTCTTCACGAGATTCTACAATATTATCTATACAAATGCACGTTATTTAACTCTCTTCAGTTCACCCTACTTCGCTACCCATGTCACATTTCACAAGAGATATTTTATCTAATATCACTATCTAATATCACAACAGCATATGTTACACAAAAATATCATTTTCATACTCTTTCAGGGAGTAAAAACAATTTGTTACCAAAAAAGTTTTTGACTTTTTTCTTGAATTTGAGAAAATTTGTTTCACTTCTAATGCTATGTGGTAATAAGTTAAATTTTTTTGCCCTGGCATGAAGTGGCGAACCTTTGTACTCATTACGATTTATTTTTTCCTGATGGAAGTCGTTTCTCCGTCTCGTTTGATGAGAGTGAATTTCTTCATTTCTTGTTAGTAAATGGAAATGTACATGAATGTAGCTTAATATTCATTTCTGATGACTGTCCCTAAATGGTAATATTTATATTAAGCTTAGAATACACTAGACCATAGTATATATCCAAGAGATTATGTCTCAAAAAAATCGATTTTTATCGTTAGGAAGGCAAAATACATTTTTTTCAGAGTAGTGCACAAGTATTCGATGTGATTATTAGAAGACAATTTATTGTCAAGTTGTGTTCCAAAGAATTTTGTATATTCTGTTTCGAAACCCAGATTTATTTGGAGAGGACGCTGATACTCACTTGAAAACTGGATAAATGTTGTTTTATCTTCATTATTTTTTAAATGATTTTTTCTACACCGACATTCGAATTCATTGATTACTAGTTTCGTTTTATTTTCAATTCCATTTAGATCTGGGGACGTCACAATGATTGTTGTGTCATCGGCATACATGAAAACTCGACCCTCGAGAAAAACCTAGCATTCAGTTTCAAGGTTAAACCAAACTTCACCATCAGATCTGGCCAATGTGTGGGGAAAAAGAGACCAAAGTGAGGTGATACACACTTTTCAGTTGAAGTTACGTCAATATCATCTACTATGTTGCTTCAAATTGTAATGTAATTATATTTCAAAAAAATATAGTGTAGAATTTTGAATCATCATTAAATATATGGTAGTTCATGTTATACATTTATATGCGTGAGAAATATCAGTCCGTTTTCCTGTAAAATGTTATGTGTTGAGTCTACGCATCTGTTTTGGGTACCTCACACACATCCGTCTAGCAAGACGTCAGCAGATAATAACCTTGCCTTTATTCCGAAGTCAAACCAAACTTGACGGCCAAATCTGGCAATGACAGGTGATTTAATTTATTTTTGATCAAAGTGATGGCATATTCTACTTTTCAGTTATAGTTACGACGATGTCATATGCTGTGATGTTCGTAACGGAATGCAAAAGCTACGTGCAATATCAAAAATCGACATGTTTTTCGTTATACGTAACCAAGGAATACAGGCACAAACTATAGAAAATCGGCTCATTAAAGCAGTTGTCTCTTCCGAAAATTTTTAAATTCTAACCAAACCCCAAAAATTTCCCAATCCTAAGATATTTCTCTTCCGAATATGTATTCTGTAATTCGATTTCACTCTTTTCAGTGTTTTCTGTACATAAAATAGACCTGAATAATAACTGTTCTTTTATTCGTGACAATGAACACAACATTGCACAAGATTCAGATTTTAAATTCCATTGGATAGTTACAAATAACAAGAATACACTCTCTGAACGCTTATTTCTTATCACTTGTGCTCTATTGGTTTGTTTCATATTGAATCATTTGAATACATGCAATGAACTTCTCTCAATACTTATCTTTAATTATTTTATAACCTTCAACTTTGCATTCCAACGCGGCCTCAATAGTTCAATGAGGTTTCAAAGCGAAAATGTGAGGTCAAATTTTGCTATAATAGGGAGAGTTTCTGTCAATTGTTATATTTATCCAATTCGCCCTAACCATACCTTGGCACAGCTCAAGTTGATAATTTTCATATTGATACTTCACGAGATTCTAAAATATTATCTATACAAATACACGTTATTTGATTCTCTTCAGTTCACCCTACTTCAACACCTGTCTTAAATTTCAATCCGCCTTAACCTTACCTTTGCACAGCTCAAGTTGATAATTTTCAGATTGATACTTCACGAGATTCGACAATATTATCTATACAAATGCACGTTATTCACTCTCTTCAGTTCATACTAATTCAATACCTTTGTTTCAAATCACAATTCGTCTTAACTTTACCTTGGCACAACTCAAGTTGATAATTTTCAGGTCAATACTTCACGAGATTCGACAATATCATGTATACAAATGCACGTTATTTCCTCTGTTCAGTTCACACTACTTCAACACCTGTCTTAAATCGATTGCAACATCACGGCTCACGGCTGCTGACACACACAGACCCGACTTTTTAATATAGAACAGGTAGTTTGAGAAATTATTCAACCCACACGAGGGTGTGGTGAATGAATTTAATCTTTAATGCTAGATAGTATTGCGCAAATTCATTTCATTTTTGTTTCGAATACAGTGGATAGTGCGACATTCGAATGGTGTATGAAATCTTGTGGATTTGGGGAAATCTGGCAACACTGTCTCAGGGAGATTCCCATGTTGGGACAAAAATTTGCAAAACGGAGCTTGGCTTTTTTCTCTAAATTCACATGGTATTTCCCATAAGGCGGTGTTGCCATTCGCCCCACGATCTCGTAGCTTATCTACTAACAGGCATACCCTATTCTGGACGGAAACCCTCATTGTGACAGAAACTTTATCAACCAAGATAGCGTCATCAGGAATAAATCCAAGAGAAACACACATCAAAACCGAAACCCATCGCCAGGTTCCAGTATTGTCGCTTAGTTGTAATGCCCATTTTTTAGAACTATATTTTCAATCATAATAAATCAGGCTGTCTGAATATTCTGATTCGGCGATTTTCGGCAAATTTTTCTCTACGAATTCAAATTGAGCAAAAGCGCTACCGAAAGGTAGCGCTTTTGGGTTGTTTCCAACCCAAAAATCAACCAGGCATTTAGCAAAGATAGTCTTAATGACCGCACTTGGTTTGCGATAATTCGTTCCGTAGATTAGTCTGATGTGAGCCCGATAATATGCCCAAAGTGGTCGACTTACAGTAATCCACTACGAGGATTCGAGGATCAAGGTGGAGACTGGTCTATCACAAACGATGCTTGGGATGCCTGAAGAACTGAGTGTCAGCTCCCATTCAGGTCTTTTTGATGTTTGATGATTTGAAACGTATTGAATAGGTCAAAAAGTGGGTGCCCTACGATTTGAACGATTGACAGAAATTGTCACGTTCCAAGGTCTATTCTTCTTTGTTTTTGCGCAACCAAACAGGTAATTTTTTGTATCGAATCGTCACGTGTGAAAGAAAGTGAATTTTCTACAACAGGAGATCTTTAGAACAGTGGTTGGACACTCCAAAAAAATCATGATTACTGTTTGGTGGTCGGTAGCTGGTGTGATTCGCAATAAATTCCTGCAACCGGGTCAAACCGTCACATTCCTATTATGAGGAAGTCGATGAAGTGTACCAAAAATTGTGTCAGCAACAGCCAGCACTGGTCGATAGAAGAGGTCTGAAACTGCTCCACGACAACGCCCGTCCGCACGTTTCACAAATTACCGTTCGCGAATCAAAAGAATTGAGCGTCGAAGTTCTGCCTCATCCACCATACTATCCAGACCTGTCACCCACCTCTACAATGTTTTCAAGTACTTCCATAACTTCCTCACCAGTAGAACCTTCGTCAATTAGGATCAGACAAAAACAGCCTTTGTTGATTCATCGAATCCCGAACTCTAAATTTTTATTTCAATGCAATCAATTGACTTGTGTTACGTCGGAAAAAGTATATTGATTCAAATGATGCTCATTTTGATTGAATTGAATAAGTATTCACTGATATATTACAGTTTGGAGTAGACTCATGAATACGGACAACACTTTTGAAACAACCTGATACATAGATATATTTGACATTTCAGAACTCCTTTGACATAATTCGAAGAGGTTTGATTAGAACGAATTGAAGAAATATTAATGCAAGTCACAGCTGGTTTTTCAAATTCTGAAATTGTAGGCAGACTGTAGCCTCTGAAACGTTAAAATGGTATCTATACAATTTTCCAGCGAAACTTTTGTATTAGACAAGTTGGTGATAAATATCGTATTTTTCTTTGTGAAAAATACACTGAATAATTTCCGAAGTGAACTAAACCTAAATATGACTTCATACAACTGTATGAACTTCTCCGTTATATTTTTTCAATTGTGGAATTGTGAAAATCTCCTGAAAGATCAAACTCTAATTTACTTAACAAAAATGACTTTTACTCAATGTATAAGTAATCCGTAAGTGGATGAACACTATTTGCAATTCCTCTTCTGCCGATAAATTGATTTTCATATTGTTTCTCGAATCAGGTAACATTTTGTTAGAAAGAAAATCATAAGAGGATTTAAAAAATTTCGTTTCTACAAGACAGATTCCAAGTTGAACTATTTTTTTTCATATTGAAAGGTCAATAAAAACTGATGCTCTTGATCATAACAAACTAATATACTTTACTTCAGAATAGATCCACAAAGTCTAAAATTATTTTCAAAATAAATGTTAATGTTTAAAATATCGAGTGGAGAACAATATTTTCAACTCGTGCTCTAGTTTCAAAATCAATAGTCTCACTCTCATTTGGCAGAAATAAATGTTAGCGTCACCTAGATTACGTTCGATTCAGTATAAATAAATACAATATTTATAGTACTTCTATTCTATTGAAAAATAAATAAGCAGTCTGTAGCGAACAACAGTACTTACCATACGCTTGCCATTGAAATTTTCATTGAAAATGACGTTGGACAAAGAAATGAAATTGAAATTGATCGAAGTTAAAAATGAAACAGAATATCGGTGAGTCTATTTTGGTGATATTCAAAAGTATGGTTCATAATTTTTGATTTGTAGTAGTTAGCCATCAAACTGTTGAGAATTTCATTCGACATTGCAGTTTGTTTTTGTTGTGTGCTCCTTCTCTTGTTTTGATGAATAATGGGGTTTACCTAATTCATGTGTTCGTCAACAGTGTTTAAAACCGGGATAAAACAAAAAAATATTGGAAAAAAGTAGAAACTGAACTAATAACTGAGTTCAGCTTCTAAAAGAGTATTGGGCCTAGATTGGTTCTTTATAGTACTCCGCATTCGATAAGCATGTTTTCAGCATAAACCATTTTAACCACTGTTCAATATGTTATTTTGAAACAGTTTGAGACATTCACCTCTCCAATTCCTTTCAAAGATTCTAAAACAAGAGGATAACTAACAGTATCAAATCATTTGACTATATTCATCGATATGCATTAGCTTAGCATACTCCAGTCTAAATATTGAGTATTTTAGTTTTCATAATATTTCACTCTATAAGGTGGAATAAGAAATTCCGACTTAGTATTAATCTTAGAATTTTCCTCATTAGAATTATGAAATCAGTTTTATATTGATTATAACAAATGTGCAGTTGAAAAGGTGATCAGATGTCCAAATTTCATGGTTTTCTTTTCCCATCATCATTTAAACCATAATTAAAAATAATAATTTTGATTTTCAGGTTGATGCTACTGAACGAAGAAGATGCTCTCTATCCTCCATGGTTTTTCACTTGGATTGATGAATCACTGACAGCATTTGCTTGGCCTCAAACGAAAGGCAATATGGAATATCTTTGGTTAATCGGTATGTATTATGTATATTCAATCGAATATTATACATGGACCAAGGAAATTCTGATAGAAGTCGCATTGAACATAATTTTTCAAATGTCAATTATTTATTCACCTCGAAGGCTCATCCCTCAAATTTTTGAAAATTTTTCTCAGAAAATTCTGGATGCAATGATTTCAGCAATAACCAGTAATTTCACTGAAATTCTGATTCCGTTTACTATTTCGATTATAAAATGTGGAAGAAATATATCTTTTTTTTTTGTTTTCAAACATAGATGAAGTATTACCAGTATGAATCGAAATCAAATGCGAAATACTTTTTGTGAATCGTACTCGAACACACATAAAATACTTCTTTACTAAGAGTACTAGACTCTACCTAGATGAGTCTTGTCAACTTTCTGATAAACTGAAGTATGGAAATTTTAGTATCAGTTTTACCCATCCAAAATTTTATTGATTTGAAAAAAGGAGATAATCATTGAAATTGAAATATTTTCAATTATGTGTAATAATTCGTATAATAATTCATCAGTGCTTCAAAATGGCTCCCATTTTGAAGCCATTTCAAGAAATTGATGTGATTTGACGCCAGGGCCTCAATCTGCCTACTCCCCAGGTCTTGTCATGAGTTTTCTCTAAGGTCTCAATTTGCCTACTCGGTATCGGTGTTCCAATAATGTACCACATATTATGTGTAATTCAGACGGATAACTTTGCAATTATTAGGTACAACATTATATGTGGTATTTCAAACTTTATCATGAATACAGTAAGCGTTCTTCAACAAATAGATCTATATGCCATTGTGGACTTTTGGTGGACCTATTGAAGAATTATATACAGGGCGCTTTTATCATGTGGTAATATTGGTATATTCTAAATCGTTACAGATATGGAGACGATTGAAAAAAAAAAGGTAACTATCGTAGGGAATAGTACAATAGTCGAAGAAAATTCACAGGGACTTTGGCTGTTCTCGAGTTATACAGGGAAAACGAAAATGCTGTTTATTTACGAAAGGAATTGTTATTTCAGAAAATATACAAGAATGGAAAACGAAAGTTTTATTGTATTCGAAATGTATTATAACCATGTAACAATTAATATTTATTTGAACTTTTCATGTCATTACGGCCACCATCGACTTTTTTTCAAGTGGGAATCTGTCTCTTTCATTGCAAATATTGATGAAGAAATGAAATCACGATTAAGTGGTATATCACACGTGATATTCATGTAGCCTTCCATTCAAAATAACTAGCACCATTCAAGACAACAATTTTTTATTACGTTTCTGTCGTTAGTTCTTTTGTGAATTGTTTTCATTTCTTCAAAACGTATTCAACTACATACATTATCCAAAATATTCGATAAGGAGATACCCTAACACAACGAACATTCGTGTAGTTTTCCTTTTTGAATTTTTTTTTACAGTAATCCTTGTTTCGAAGCTGATTCCTCCTGAATTTGTTACAATGAAATAGCATGTCACTTCATTCACTATATTCAAACGCAAAAGCTTCACTTAGTTTCTATTGAAGGACAAATAAATGGGTTGTTGATATCTGTTACGAACTGTCAGACGTTTATGTACTGGGTTACATATTTAAGAGGTATTCAAATGACTGAAGGAGTAATATATACGATATTTACTTATGCACAATTGAATCGAAATCCTCTTTTTGTAAATAAATATTATAACAAATCTCTTTTACCCATCCTTGGGCCGACCCTGCCGTGCCCTAGCAGGTGGCTGCCAATTCCGAAAACCCAGACATCTATCGAAGGACAGTTAGTTAGTTACAGTTGACACACTTACAGCCTACGAATTGTCTACGCGTTGTGAAATAATTTCAATGTATTGTTGTGTTATTATAAACCGAAAATCCATTTAATTAAATATCTTCCTGTTTCAATGTTTCTGTGAACTTTCTATAAATACCCTTTTATAGTGGCGCTCTAACTAGTGGCCAGAATATTTGAAAAAGTTGTAAGATTCTTAGTGGATTTTTACCGGTTTTATTTCGTGTCGTGTGTGACAAATACAGAATTGTTTCTTTGTTCCCGGTTTCACCGATTGATGGACATTAAACAATTTGAAACGACCAACGTGCTCGTCGTTGCTTCTGGATTTCAATTCTAAGAACTCTGATGACTCGTTTATTGTGCATTCAGTTCGTCTGTTCGAAAGTCCGTGGGCCGCACAGGTTGTACTCGTTCCTAAAAAAAATGGTGGAATTCGACTGTGCGTAGACTATCAACGGCTGAATGCCATAACAACAAGTGACTCGTATCCGATTCCGCGAATGGACGATTTACTACATGCAGCCAAAAGAACATTCTACATGACCACGATTGATTTACGATCGGGTTATCATCAAGTGAGAGTTATTGATCGTAACGAAAGCAGATAAGACTGCTTTCGTTACGCCCTTCGGGACATATCGTTACCTTTTTATGCCGTTCGGTTTGAAAGGAGCTCCCGGAACATTTCAACGATTAATGGACCAGTTTCGACGTGGTCTCGGCAGTGTTGTGATTGTCAGTTATTTGGATGATATAATTGTTCTTTCCAGTACATTTGAAGAACACCTACATGACTTGAAGCTCGTGTTCGATAGACTTGAACAATTTAAATTTCGCGCCAACCGTAAGAAGTGCGTGTTCGTGAGTGCCAAAGTTAAATACATAGGACATTACATTACTCCGGAAGGTATTTCGGTTGATCCCGAGAAGACTTCGGCGATAAGTGAACGTTTACCACCACGGAACGTCAAAGAAGTGCAATCCTTCCTTCAAACTGCTAGCTGGTATAGGCGATTTGTAGCAAACTTCGCAGAAGTATCTCGCCCGCTCAGCGATTTAACGAAAAGGAAGGCAGTGTGGCGGTGGACTCCCGAATGCCAAACGTCATTTGAAAAACTGAAGCAGTTGCTGGTATCAGCCCCTATACTTAGACAAAGTGACGAGACGAAGCCATACATTATAACGTACTGATGCAAGTAGTTATGCATTAGGCGCCGTATTGCTACAAGGTGAAGGAGAAGATGAACATCCTGTAGAATACGCGAGCCGGTTGCTGAATGCCGCAGAACGAAACTACTCCACGTCAGAGAGGGAAGCCTTAGCTGTGGTGTGGGCCCTAGGAAAATTCAGAGGTTACGTTGAAGGCTCCCCGATAGTCGTGCAAACCGACCAATCACTACGATGGTTACTCAGTTTGAAATCTCCTACTGGTAGGTTAGCACGATGGGCTTTATTGATACAAGGTTACGATATCAAGATAGAGTTCTTACCAGGAAAGCGGAACGTTGTTGCCGATACTTTATCTCGTCCTCCTTGCGACCATGAAGAACAAGTGGCTTGCGAGTTGTGCGAGGTTATTGTCGAATTGCCTCATAGGAAGGCAGATGAGATAAAAAACGAACAATTGAAAGATCCTGAACTGTCAAAAATAATCAAAAGTTTCGAAGATCCTTCGGATACAGAATTTGCCGAGTGGACAGATCGAGGTTATATCCTGTCCCAGGGAGTACTATATCATTTCTCCCCAGAAGGAGATGAAGAAGAAGCACAGTTGGTAGTACCTATTCATGAAAGAGACAGAATTCTAAGTGAATATCATGATGCACCAGAAGCCGCTCATTATGGTGTTGAGCGTACTCTCCAACGCATTGCGAAGAGGTATTACTTTGTAGGGATGCGCCGATACGTGACCGCCTATGTAAGTAAATGCCTAGATTTTCAGCGCTACAAGGCCACAAACCAGAAACCAGGTGGACTTCTACAAACTCCTGTATATGCGCAAAGATTTGAAACCCTAGCAATAGATCTCTTCGAACCGTTACCGGAAGGACCAAGTGAAGAAAGGTGGATATTCATTGTTGAAGACATTTCTACGAAGTGGGTCGAGTTATTTGCCTTGCAACGTGCTACTGCAGAGGAATGTGCCCTCACTCTAGTTAATGAAATATATTTCCGCTATGGACTTCCTCGAAAAATCATTAGCGACAACGGCGTACAGTTTGTATCCGCTGTTATGCAACAGGTATGCATGGCCTGAGAAGCTTGCAACGACCAGATTTGCCATGAACTCCGTATGGTATGAAACTACAGGAAAGACTGCTGCCTACTTAACATTTGGGCGCGAGTTACGAACTCCTGACGACGCGAAACATGATTTCAGGGTCGTCACGGATACCGAGAATTTCATTCCCCAGATAACTCCTTATCTAAAGAAAATTTCAACCACTTGGCAAGAGGTCAAAGCGTTAAATGAAAAAGCACAAGACCGTCGAAAGGTCTATGCAGATGTCCGAAGAACAGATGTGGATCCTTTCAAGGTTGGTGACCTAGTGTGGGTGCAGACCCACGCGCTTAGCAATGCTGCGAAAGGACTCACTGCAAAGTTTTATCCGAAAAGAGATGGACCTTACAAGATACTGAGGCAGGTATCCGCAGTCAGTTATGAAGTTGCCTATCCCGATAACCAAACCACACCATTGGGAGTTTACCATGTCTCATCTCTCACCCATGCAAAAGCCAGCGAGGTTGAGAAACCCGCGCTTGGTTTAAGAAAAAGGGGGAGACCTCCGAAGAAGAAGAAGAATACAGCCAATAGAACTGGTCCCTCCTCGAGGCGAGTTCGAGACCAGGGGGGGAGACTATAACAAATCCCTTTTACCCATCCTTGGGCCGACCCTGCCGTGCCCTAGCAGGTGGCTGCCAATTCCGAAAACCCAGACATCTATCGAAGGACAGTTAGTTAGTTACAGTTGACACACTTACAGCCTACGAATTGTCTACGCGTTGTGAAATAATTTCAATGTATTGTTGTGTTATTATAAACCGAAAATCCATTTAATTAAATATCTTTCTGTTTCAATGTTTCTGTGAACTTTCTATAAATACCCTTTTATAATATGTATATGGTGAGCTATACCCGAATTGTCGTATTCCGAACTTCCACATGTTTGGACATTTGAAATCAAATTTATAAGACTGTGG